TTTGTAGTCTGTGTATTCCCTGAATTAGTGCCCTTAAATTTGTCCCTATTTTTTCATTGATGGCCTTCATATCATAATTCTGGGATTCTCATTTAGGTCTTTAATCCATGTTGAGTTTGTTTTTGTATAATGTATGTAAACTGAAAATTTCAAGCCTGATGAGCCCTCAGATCGTTTTTTTCAGAACTAAGAACATTTATTCCTGTTAATTTTGTTATTTGATGATTCTGTGAGGTTTTTTAGGCTCAGCGAGAAGCTTTTCTTTAAAGATACGTTTGTTGGGGAAAATGATTTGTGGGGGGTTTGTGTGTATTAACAGCTCTGGTGTAACAGTGGTTCAGCACTTGACTGGTATCTGATGACGTTATCAGTTTTAAACTACCGACCAGTTTGTGGAAGAAAGCTGTAGCAGTTTACTTCCATAAAGATTTAACCTTGGAAACTCTATATGGCAGTTCATCATTTTCTGTTGTCTTATCCCTGAGTTTTTCTTCATATTTCCTGGCCAGTTTTTGTTTGTCAGTGCCTTAAATTGTAATGTAAGCTCTACAAGGTCAGGGGTCTTATTTTATTCAATGCAGTGTTTCTAGTGACGGGTGTATGATACATGTTTATGTCAATGAAAGGATGAATACTGTGATGTGTGAGGTTTGGGGGCTTATAGAATAATAAATAAAAAGCCATCACTGAAAAATACCTGCACTCTTAACAATTGGATAGAGTAGAAAACTGTTAATAAGATAGCTAATTCTCACTGATCTTAATTATGTCTGGTTACTTCCTTGTGCTTTATCTGGAAGGTATCAGGAATCAAGGGTTTTGTTGGAATCCTAATGTAGAGGTTCTCAAACATTTTATTTCTTGAGTTCTTTATCATTTTACTCAAAAATTTATTGCTTCTTGGTCTTCTGGTTTCATATTTTACAGCTCCTCTGCATTTTATATATGTATGTTGTTGAGTGTTATCAAGTCAGTTCTGACTCATAGTGGCCCTGTATAGAGTTCCCAAGGAGTGACGGTGGGTTTGAATTGCCAACCTTGTGGTTAGCAGTCCAGTGCTTATCCTGTAGTGCCACATCAGGACTCTATTATTTATGTATATGCGCCATAATTTTCCAAAATATACTGCTTGATGTTGTGTTATTCAAGTTCTCTATATACACTTTGTAATTTTCTAGAATAACCTTAATATACCATAATTCTTATTTCTCTTCAGGATTCTGTTTGAGCTTTGAGCTTTTAGGAACCTACTTTGGGAAATGCCTCATTTGCTATGTTTAAGATATTTCTTTTTTTCTTTTATAGACAGTTCAAGAAGAAGAAAAAGAGATTTACAGACAGCTGCTACAGATGGTTACAGGGAAACAGTTTTCAGTAGCCAAACCCACAACACATTTTCCCTTACACCTGTAAGTCACAGAAACATATTTCAAATGAACTTAGTTCTATAATTTGTTATTTGATACTGACACAATATTCTTCTCTTGGTAGGTCTCGATGTCTTAGTTCCAGTAAGAATACTTTGAAAGACCCACTGTTTAGAAATGGAAATTCTTGTGCAGCTCATATCATTGGCTCTGATACTTCCTCATCTGGATCAGCCAGCATTTTAAATACCCAGGAACAACTATCCCATGGTTTTTATCCCCTATCCTCCTACACCCCAGAAACTGTTGCATTTGGATCCAAAGATTCAGATCCTCTCCATCAACTCCACTATCACCATTCTCTTCCACATCAGCCAGATAACTTACCAGCTTCAAATACACAATCTGAAGGTAAAAGTGGTGTCATAAAAATACGTTTTTAATCCTAATAGCCAGTTTCCTATCTATTGGATCTAGGTGAATTATAGGCAAGATTATAATGCAAGTATAACAATTAGCATATAAGGTAACTTAGACACATATAATTTAGTTAACCAGACCATGAGTAAACTAAAAATACAAATAATTTTCTTTTTTCTATACATAAAGATGCAAATGATATAATATAATATTTCATTTGAAAAACTGACTTCCTGTCTTTTTAAAGTTAGTGCATTCATGCCAATAATGTCAACAGTTTCTCTATTACGAATACTGACAATTGTTGTTAGGTGCCATCAAGTTGGTACCGACTCATAGCGACCTTATGCACAGCAGAATGAAACACTGCCCAATCCTGGGCCAACCTCACTATTATTGCCACGCTTGAGTCTATCGATGCTGCCACTTGACCAGTCCATCTCGTTGGGGGTCTTCCTCTTTTTCTGTGACCCTCCATCTTACCAAAGTGAAAATTGTTGTTGTTGTTGTTAAGTGCCATCGAGTTGATTCTGGCCCATAGCCACCCTGTATAGGGTTTCCAAAGAACAGCTGGTGAGCTTGAACTACCAACTTTGTAGTTCAAACGGCTTTGCAGTCTGGCGCAGTAACCCACAGCACCACACCAGGACTCCAAAGTGAAAATTAGGTAGTCTCAAATTTTAGGAGATTTTGAATATCAAGTAAGCACTGAAACAAAAGTACTTAACTATGTTATAATAAATCTACACAGAATGGTTGTCATAAAGTTCTGGAAACAGAGTTCTTTCTCCAGGTTTTAGCTAACAATAATCCGTTTCCTAGCAGCATTTCAGTTAATTAAGGTTTTGCTATGATAGGGTTTTTTGTTTCCTTAGTTTTCCGCATCTTTAGGTGTATGTTATGCGTATGTTTATGGAATGTAACTAAATACAAGTTTTAGATTAGATGGTTAGACTTTAGGGATCTTTGACAGATGGAATGCCAGTCTCGGAAGCTCTTTCCTCATCCTTCGGCTTGTTTGGATTTTTTTTTAAATCCTTTACTCGCTTTCTGAAAATTCTCATTTGGGAATAAGTTTTTGTTGTTGTAAATGGTTATAAATCATTATAAAGCTACCCATAATTATGAAAACGTGTATTGAATTTTCTCAGGTGATTTATTGAGAACTGCTATTAACAAATAATAATAAACTATTAATCCCAGAAACCTATCCATAACTACCTTAAAAAAAAAAAAGACCAAGAACCTTTTAATTCCAGAAATAACTTGTTATTCAGATGCTTAGATACAATCTATAATATAGTAGATTATACTATTTAGTTACTTTCTTGTACCATTTAGTAAGTATACTAAATGAGATTCTAATCATAGCACTTTAGAAGGACATGGTACCTGTTTTTGAAGAGTATTTCATGCAGATAATAAATGATGGGATGTTAAAACACATTTTCTGTAGACTGCTATTTCTCCTTAAGTTCTGTTTCTCTTTTTATCTCTTTCTCTCTGTCTCCCTCCTGCTCTCTTTCTAAGACTTCATTCAGTATTCAGTTTTATGGTAGTTGATGAAATAAAGCACTATCGGAAATCTTGGCATGTTCCTGTTCCCTAGGAACAGAAAGAGGACGCATAGGGAGCAAGCATAGCCCAGGAGTAGATGCTGAGGATATCTATGCTTGTATTTTACAGTGACTGCCTTATTTGTGAGGCAGGGTCTTCACTAAGACTTTTTTCTGGTTCCAGTGAAAATGGACCTGCTTCCCTTTTCTTCCATCTTATCTGTATATGCTATGCTTTGTTGGTGTGGAATAGACTTTAACAAAATATATAGGAGCTTGAACTATAGACATCTAATCTAGACTGTATAACTGTGGAATTCTGATAGTAATGAAGTGTCTTTGTTTCTTTGTTTAGGATCAGACTCTGTCATTTTACTCAAAGTGAAAGATTCCCAGACTCCAGCGCCAAGGTAAACTTTGGAAAACCATCATTCTTAACATATTGATTTCCCTGTCTTCAATCACAATTTCCTTACAACCAATAAGAGTTACATAATTAAAAGGTAAAAACTGCCTCAATACAGATATTTATCATATTTTGTCTGAATTCTTTTAATGACTTTCTAATTGGCTTCTTGCCTCCTGCCTCTATTTTGCCCTTCATTTCATCTTTTACCACATGATCTCCAATCCATTTTTCTACCTTGTTCTTTGGCCTATCTACCATGCTGCAGTCAGAGGGATGTGTCTAAAATGAATTTTCATTAAACTCCTTCAAAAGCAATTTATCAGACATGGAAGCAAGTCCAAGCACCTTAGAAATGATACAAGCCTCGTTTCCTAGTCCAAGTGTCATTTCCTATTACACACTCTTTCCTTGAACAAATAATACTTACTGAGGACCTACTGTGTGCCAGATACAGGTAGACACCGGGGATAACTATAGTGAACAAAAAATGTAAGCACTCAAGAAGCTTACGTTGGAGCTGTGTGGAAGGGTGGGGGTCAAATAATGAACAAATAAACCTGTATTCCAGGTGGGTGATAAGGAAAAGAAAGCAGGAAAATTGGGTGAGGGGCACACCTCATGTGCTCTTCTCTCGTTAATCTCTCGTTAACCTCACTAACGGGGAGAGGCAATAGAACACCTTTGTCATTCCCAAGTTCCATTCGAAGAATGATTGGGAATGCGTATTTTTCAAAAGTAGGTCAAGAGGCAAAGGATGCCTGCTAAACCCTGGTACATATACCTCACTAGGGCAGATTATAATGGACTCCTGGTGTAGCATTGTAGGGTCAGCACTGGGCTGTGAACCGCAAGGTCAGCAGTTCAAACCCACCAGCTGCTTCTTGGAAACCTTGTACAGAGTTGCTGTGAGTCCGAACCAACTCGACGGCATTTAACAACAACAGCAACAAAGGGCAGATTGTAGAGATTTAAGAAATAAAAGGAACTTTAATCTCTATATTTTACAAATCTAGAAACTAGAGCCCAGAGAAGCGAAGTGACTTGTTCAAGGCCAGAAAAACAACCAAAAGGTCCAGGTCTCTTAACTCCTAATTTGTTGTCAGCTTGTTTTATGTATCTGGAAGTTTTCTTTCGAAAGATGTTTGCTTTTATGCATATTTCTGTGAGAAATCCCTCAGTTAGGAGTTTACAATGAAGGAGTAAGTTTGAGAAGCACTAGAACAATTAACATTCCTGGGACTCTGCTATGCATTATTCACTTGAGTTAGCAAGAGACACATGAAATGGAACTGACCTCTCGTCCTAGAGATGGAGTTGTGTTGTTATTCTTCTGCCTTGGTTCACTTACTCTTTAGCCATTTGATACGGACTATTCTGTGGATGTTGTTGTTGTTGTTGTTGTTGTTGTTAAGTACCATTAAGTCGGTACCAACTCATAGTGACCCTGCGCACAGCAGAACAAAACACTGCCTGATCGTGGGCCAAACTCACAATTGTTGCCATGCTTGAGCCCACTGATGCTGCCACTTTACCAATCCATCTCATTGGGGGTCTTCCTCTTTTTCTCTGATCCTCCACCTTTCCAAATATGATATCCTTCTCCAGTGATTGGTCCTTCCTGACAATATGTCCAAAGTATAAGAGACGAAGTTTGGCCATCTTGGCCTCCAAGGAGCACTCTGGCTGCACTTCCTCCAAAATGGACCTATTGGTTCTTTTGGCAGCCCATGGCACTTTCAAAATTCTCATCCAACACCATAACTCAAAAGCATCAATTCTACGGTCTTCCCTATTCACTGTCCAGCTTTCACATGCATATGAGGTTATTGAAAATACCATGGCTAGGGTCAGGCGCACCTTAGTCCTCAAGCTCTGACATCTTTGCTCTTCAACACTTTAAAAAGGTCTCGTGCAGCAGATTTGTCTAATGCAATACGTCGTTTGATTTCTTGACTGCTGCTTCCATGTTGATTGTTGATCCAAGAAGAAAGAAGTCCTTGACAACGTTAGTCTTTTCTCCGTTGATAAGAATATTGTTTATTGGTCTAGTGGTGACGATTTTTGTTTTCTTCACAATGAGATGCAATCCATACCTAAGGCTGTGGCCTTTGATTTTCATCAGTAAACATTTAAGTCCTCTTCACTTTCAGCAAACAAGGTTGTGTCATCTGCATATCGCAGGTTGTTAATGAGTCTTCCTCCAATCCTGATGCCACGTTTTCTTCATATAACCCAGCTTCTCAGATTATTTGCTCAGCATACAGGTTGAATAAGTATGGTGAAAGAATACAACCCTGCCACACACCTTTCTTAATTTTAAACCATTCAGTGTTTCCATGTTCTATTCGAACAACTACCTCTTGGTCCATGTCCAGATTCCTCATGAGCACAATTAAGTGTTCTGGAATACTCATACTTCGCAATGTTGCATGTCAAACGGAGTCCTGGTGTGGTGTTGTAGGTTAATGCGCTAGACTGCAAAGTTGATTAGAACTGCAAGGTCAGTGGTTCAAGCTCACCAGCTACTTCTCGGAAACCCTGTACAGGGTCGCTATGGGTAGGAATCAGCTTAATGGCATTTAGCAACAACAACATTCTGTGGAGAGAAGTCTGTAACGGTACTGTAGAATAACCACTGGACTGCTGACTTCAAGGTCAGCTCCTCGAAAACCCTATACAGGGTCGTCGTTAGTCAGAACCAACGTGAGATCACTTAACAACAGCAGCGTTCTGTGGATAAGGAGCCCTGATGGTGCAGTGGTTAAGTGGTCAGCTGCTAACTGAAAGGTGGGAGATTTGAACCTACCACCTACTTTGAGGGAGAAGAAACCTGGCAATCTGTTTCCATAAAGATTACATCCACAAGGTTGGTGGTTCCAATCTGCCAGCTGCTCCAACAACTCTTTCCTGTACTGTCCTATAGGGTCACTTTGCATTGGAATCGACTCAGCAGCAACAGGCTTTTATTCTGAGGGCTGGGTTTTTTCTGTATCTATTATGATTAGGTCAATACATTTTGAATTAAGTAGACATTCAGAAGTTGCTAAAAACCCGTAAGATTTGATTAACCAATCTGTCAGTCTGAATCATTTGGGAAGAGTAATGTTCTTATTATTTTGATAAATGATGCACTTTTTAATGTAATGCTTGTCTCATGCTGGTAGGGAGCTTTGTTAAATTTCTCGGCTCAAATTTGGGTTATCTTTTTAATATGTCTATAAATGACTCATATTTGTGTTTCTTTAGGTCCCAGTTATAATTATTTTGTGTAATTTAAGGACCTTTTACTTATTTCAAATTTATATAGCATTCTTATAAACAATTTAAATCATTGGCTTTGTTGGTGAAGTTATTGGTATTTTCTCATAAGCCTTTTGCTCATTTGTCACCTTTTTATTTTCTCACCCATAGTCCTACCTTTTTCCAGGCTGAGCTGTGGATCAAAGAATTGTAAGTTACTTATTTTTGGTGTCATTTTTCCCTGTCTGTCATTTCATTTTCAGTTAGAAGAAATCAGACAATTAGCCAATCATCTTGCTTTTTTTTAGTTATTAAGAATTATCTTTTTATATTTTAAGTTGTTGGGTTTTTTTAAATTCTATTGGTGACATTTATATGCTTAGGTTTATTAAATCTGTTACAATTGTTGAAGTCAAAGAGAATTGGAAAAAGAAATATCTTAAGTTAACTATTATGGAGAAAAGAAAACAAATGCCCTTGTTTTTCCTGTTAGGTAAAACTAATTTATAGACTTATTCATGATTTCAGAGTTTGTAAAATTATGGAACGCATTTAGTTTCTCAAGTTTCAGGAACTCACTTAGATTTATCCAGCTTCTTGTTCTTAGTGAATTAAAAGAAATCAACAACTTATTTTTTCTTTTGAATCATAAATTCAGTGATGTTTGAATTACTCAGTAGTATCTTCTCTTGTTTTACTTTTTCCTTTGGAGTTCATTCCCATTTTTAGATTTCTGAAATGAAGCTTCACTTTCTCTATGCTCTTAGAAGGATGTTCAACCAAGGACTACACAATCATAAATATCCATGAAAATAAGCCACTAACATTTAGCAGCCAACTGATACTTTTAATGTTTTAAAAGTGAGAAGAGTGGGATAATTAAAATACCATGTGGTTTCCCTTTGTGGTAAAATATAATTGTGGGGATAAGTTAGCATAGGCTTTTAGACTTTCTATATGTGCGCTTTATGTTGAATGCTCACAGTGCATCAGCATTTTGCTTGAGACAGAGAGTTGTCTACATTGTGTCGTTGTTCTTTTCATACCCTAGAACTAGTGTTTACGATTCTCGAGCACGGGAGAGATTGCGTCAGATTGAAGAGCAGAAAGCACTGGCATTGCAACTTCAAAATCAGGTAACAAAATTGGGATGGAATTTTAAAGAGCGTATATCTAAGTTGAAACTTTTTTGCAAAGTTATCTGAATTTGGGATCAAAGCTGTTGTAATTGCAAGATCATATCATAGCATTGCATGATAAGTGATAATATTTTCTTTGCCTAGCTAGTCAGTACTACTTAGTTTACATAAGACCAATAGTAGATTCTTTTATCCCATTTACCATGAAGTTCTGTCTTTCAGCGATTGCAGGAACATTCAGTACATGATTCGGTAGAACTGCATCTTCGTGTACCTCTTGAAAAGGAGATCCCTGTCACGATTGTCCAAGAAACAGAAAAGAAGGGTCATAAAGTAAATGATAGTGAAGATGAATTTCCTGAAATTACACAGGTAATATGCTACTATCAGTTCTGACACTACTAGCAATTGTTCTAGTTAGAAAGAATACTTAGGACAGATTTCAAACAAAAGCAATAAAACACATAGTACTAAAACTTTAATACATACTCTTACCTTCATTTGTATTATATGCCAGTTTTACCTTTACTTTTAAAGGATTATTGAGAATTGATGAAAGAATTTTGGGTGGCTTTTAGCTACTTCAGTGAAATGGAACTCAATAAAATTGCATTTCATGTCCATTTTGACTTAACGCACATGTACAATACTTTGACATTAAAAGGTAAGCTCAGGCTTGCTACGAATACATTTCAAAAAAACTTAAAGTAGTAAAAGATAACTGTAGAAAATTCGGAAAATGCATGAAAATATGTATACATTTTAAAACAATTTGTTCCTTAATCTATACATCTTTTTGAAAAACTAGTGAACATAACGTAGTTATAATAGCTATGCTGGATTCCATATTTCCTATTTTACGCTTTAAAAAAAATATATGTATTCTGTCATTTGGACCAAAAATATAAAACAGAAAATATAATTAGCTTATTTGATGGTAAATAGGTTATTTCAGATCTTAGAATTAATAAGAAACAAGGGTCCAAATATGCTGAAGAAGAGAAGGGCAAGCAAGATGGACTGGAAGGTAACATCAGGGGGATTGCTGGGAAGGAGAGCCCTGGTGTGGTGCTGTGCGTTAGTGCACTGGACTGCAAAGTTGGTTTGAACTGCAAGACCAGCTGCTCTTCAGAATCCCTATCCAGGGTGGCTGTGGGTCAGAATCAACTCGACGGCACACAACAACAACTGGGGAGGGAACAGAAATGTTAGTCAGAAGTTAAGTGAATAGTTGGTTAGTAATAAATATAGGCATGGTATGGAGCTTGGTGAGGAATTCAGTTTGCCTGAGGCCATGCAATGTTGATTTCTTGACATTTTTTGCTTCCCTAGGAAATGGAGAAAGAAATAAAGAATGTTTTTCGTAATGGGAATCAAGATGAAGTTCTCAGTGAAGCTTTCCGTTTAACCATTACACGCAAAGATATTCAAACTCTAAATCATCTAAACTGGCTCAATGATGAGGTAAGTGAATACTAAATGGAAACGAATGAAGGCATTAGCTTACTGTTTCTCAAAGTGTAGTCCTTGGATGATCTGCATCAGAATTATCTCTCATAGACTTTTCCATTTGCTTCAACAAGTATGGGGGAATATAATGGAGAAATAAATTTTTAACAAACTTCTTAAGTGCTTTTTATCTACTTTAAAGAACCACTGAATATATCTTTTCTTGAGTTAAAAGATTTGGACACAAAAGGAGACAGTGTCCACTCACTGGTATTCTTACTCTTTAAGGCACCTGCCCTGCAGGTCAATTGACTACTACAATCCTTAAACTGATCTGTCCTATTCCGTAACCAGTAGGAAGCTGTTTTTTGCTAAAGAACTTTTTCATGGTAGAAGAAGACTGGTTGGCCATCTCCTCAGTACCTTCTTTCTTAGCCTCACTAAGAGAATCCATGCCTGCCTAATTGGGGTATACTGAGCTTCACAGCTCTGGAGAAGTTTTAGACTTAGTACAGTAAGCATTCCATGTTGTAGGTGCATATTTCTTATTATTGTAAACCTTCCAAATAACAATATTGGCTGACATCTATTGAATATTTACCTCATATTAGGCATGATACTCTATATGCTGTTAAATCATCTCTGTTTAACAGATAGGGAAACTTGCAAGGTCACACGGCTAGTAAGTAATAGACCCAAACATTGGATCTTATCTATTATACCGTACTGTCTCAGAATCTTATATTGAATTCTGTCTTTAGATCAGGATTATAGAACTTTGGAGCCAACATGTCATGTCTAGTAAGTTGATTTTCTTCAAGACCAGCTGGATTAGCCCTATTCTCTTTGTCATTGCTATGTTTATCAGATACAAGTTTCAGAAGCTCATAACTCCCTGAATAGTATCTTTGACTAAGAACAGTAGGAAGGCACAGTTTGATAGTCTTGCTTTAGGGGAAACTAACCTTATTTGGAGTCCTGGTATGACACAGTAGGATAAGCACTCAACCTCAAGGTCGGTTTGAACCGTAAGGTTGGTGGTTCAAACTCACCAGCCACTCCTCGGAAACCCTATACAGAGTTGCTATGAGTCGGTACTGATTCGATGGCACTTAACAAAACAACCCTTGTTTGAGCTCAGAAATGTGAGAGAACATTGGATCAGATCATTGTTGCTAAGTGCCATTTAGTCAGCTCCGACTCATAGTGACCCTATATAGAGTTTCTGAGGAGCAGCTGGGTGATTTGAACCACCAGCCTTGTTCAAACTGACCTTATCCTACAAGATCAGATAATAGGAGAGGAGGGAAGAAAGAGCTCACCAAATCAAAGGGCAAAATAAAAATGAAGGACAGGCAAAAGGATCCAATAATCAGGTTTTGGTTTTGGTTTCTGTATTATTTGATTTGGAGAGCTCCATCTGTGGTTTCTTATCCCCTCTTTTTTTCCTTTGACCTGTCATTCCTAGAAGGGAGGGTTTAGTTATTCCAATTTGATGGCAACCTTTGTTGTATATGATTTGAAAGCTTCTAGGTGGCAGCAGTGAGCAGCATCTGAGATGAGGTCTTGCTGTTCGGTTGCAGTTTCCTCATTGAGATCCCTTACAGAGGCAGCATTCATCAGGATTTATTTTCCATTCCTTGGGCCCTTGAGAGGCTGAATTTTTAATAAGCAAAGTTAATGGAAATTATATTATTTAGAGGAGGCAAGGGAAAGGAAAGATTCCTTGTCTACTTTATCCTTGTCACATCTATCCCTAACTTTTGTAAGGCATGGCTGCCTTCTGAGTGAGAATAACGTTCACCTGTGGACTTCAGCGGTGCTTTCTTCATCGACACTGAGAGAGATGATGACTATGCTGGATTTGTGTTTGGCTACCAGTCCAGCAGCTGCTTCTATGTTGTGATGTGGAAGCAGATCACCCAATCCAACTGGGACAGCCACCCCACAATAGCTCAGGGATACTCAGGCCTTTCTGTGAAAGTTGTGAACCCTACCACGGGGCCTGGCGAGCACTTGCGGAATGCTCTGTGGCACACAGGAAGTACCCCTGGCCAGGTAACAAACCTTATGGCATGACCCTCGTTACATAGGTTGGAAAGACTTCACCGCCTACAGATGGCATCTCAGCCACAGGCCAAAGACAGGCCACTTCACAATTCATCGTGATGATGAGAACTGGCTTTTAAAGTGCCATTTTCAAAGTACCACACTTCTCAAGCTTCTGCAGTATTGCCTTTGAGAAGAGAACATACTAATGGGGTGTTAGGACGTATCCATAAGTGTTGGTACCATTTGGTGGTGGTGGTGGTGGTGATAAGCCATGGAGTCAGTTCCGACTTATAGCGACCCTGTACAGGGTTTCCGAGGCTGTAAATCTTTATGGGAGCAGGAAGCCTCATATCTCTCCTGCATAACAGCTGGTAGTTTCGAACTGCTGACCTTAAGTTTTACAGCCTGATTTGTAACCACTATGCTACCAGAGTTACAAATACTTAATTGTTTTTCTCAATTGTGGATTCTCAGTCTTCTTTTGCAAGTAATTTCTCATCTCTAAAATCATGTTCTCCTTTCCTCAAATAGAAGTTATCATTAATAACCGGTTATCTTCTTTTTAAATCTGCCAGTTTTGTAGGATTTTTTTTTTTTTAATCCAAGGTAGGTGACTTGACACATTATTCGTTACCGTTTTACAGACAAGGAATAAGATTTAGGAAGTGAAATGTGTAAGTTATAGAAGTTGTCTTGTGGTTATCTGTACAAACTACCCTTTCTCTGGTCTCTTTCCTAACAGAAGAGTAGGCCACAGTGTGTTTTCATATAATAATTTGTATTTATATGTGGGTGAAGGGTTAAATTCTGTGTAGCATCAAAGAACTAATAAATGACAGAATTGCATTTTACCCTAATATAAGAAAATGTAACTTCTCAAAAATGGAATGGGAGAATAGACTACCTTGTGAAGAATATAAAAGGAGGCTGAAAGACCAGCAATAACAGGGATATTGTATATGAGGCTTTCTGTACCAAGTTATTAATAAAAATATCTAATTACAGAAAGGAGGATAGATTTAAAGGATAGGGTTAATTGCAAACATAGCTTGAAAGTCACAAAAAATAAAAAGAAATATTTTTAAATGTGGGTTTTAACAGAATATTTATTAGTTATTTGTTATTAGAATAGATAATTTCTAAAATCTCTTCTAATTTTAAGATGAGTTAATAATTCTGTGAAGAGGAGGACTGCTTTGGGCCTTGCATGTCTCTTTGTGGCCAGATGATTCTGCTTCTTAGAGGATGCAAGGCATCTGGTAAATTTAGAAATATGTGGAAATAATTTAGACATTTAAATTAATGGATTTGACTTCTGCTTCTGGCCATGAGTGAAGTAAATGGAACCAGTTTACCCTTTCAATTTAAACAACTAAAAAAACTGTACAGAATATATGAAGATAAAAGTTAACAGGCAGTGCAGGACCGTGATCTCTGAGAGAAGAGAATTAAAAAGTGAACCCTGTGATTTCCATAGCTTACTGGGGTGCTGTGTGTATTGAGTATGAGGGGTAGAGGGACAAAGTGTAGATTATTAAGAGAAATGGAAGATGATTAAACAAAACAAAACAAAAAAAGACCCAGATTAAACCCCTAGAGTTGAAAAATGTAACATCTGAAATGAAAAATTAGTGGAATAAGAAAAACAGTGTATTAGACACTGCAGAAGAAGAAATGAATGAATTTGGCAAAACAGTCATAGAAACCAGGATGAAACAGATAAAAGCCTTTTTAGAAGGATGATTGGCATACCTGTTAGCTGAGAGATGTCAATATCAAGCATCCTAGCATTTAATTGAATTCCCAGAAGAAGAGGTAGGGAAGGGAATGTCATAAAAAATGTTTGAAGAATTAATGCTGGAAGACTTTACAAATTGAAAACTTTGTAGTTTATACTGACAGATAAATTCAGCATACCTTAAGCAGAAGGAGCACTACACTAGGCATAAAATAGTCATATTGCTGAAAACTAGTGATAAAAATACTAAAAACAACCAGAAGAACAAAGACACATTACATACAGAGGAACAAAGGTATGAATGACTTTGCAGTCAGAAACTATCCTTTTAACACAGAAGTACTGAGGAAAAAAACACTTTTTTAACCTAGATTCTATATTCAGCGAAAATATCTTTTTAAACAGTAAGGCAGAGTTAATACTTTTCTAAGTAAACAAAAGCTTTAAGAATTTATTACCAGTAAACCTTTACTATGTTGTTGCTGAGTGCCATTGAATCGTTTCCGACTCACAGCGACCCTGTATGGGGTTTCCTAGACTTTAAATCTTGGGAGCAGAAAGCCTCATCTTTTCCCTAAAATCATGACTATTGTGGTTATGTTGTGAAGTGCTGTTGAGTCAGTTCCGACTCATAGTGACCCTGTATAAGATAGATTGTAATAAGTTAAAGATATGTAGAGCAAGCAAACGAAACAAAATAAAAAGGAAAGAGCTATAGTTAGCAAGACAATAATGGATATAAATAGAATCATAAAAAATATTAAATCTAAAGGAAGACAGGAAAAGAGGAAAAATGGTATAAAGAACAGATGGAACAAATACAAGTAAAAACAGAAAGATAGTAAATTTAAACCAAACCAAATCAATAATCGGAGTACTGCTATGGCACCGTAGGATAAGCACTCGACCTCAAGGTCGCATGAACTGCAAGGTCAGCGATTCAGTTCACCAGCCACTTCTCAAAAACCCTATCCAAGGTCGCTGTGAGCCAGAACCAACTCGACAGTGATCACATCAATATAGAGAGGATTTAAACCAGTATTGTCTGATAGAAATATAATGTAAGCCACAAATGTAATTGAAAAACTTCTAGTAGTCACATCAGGAGGCTCCATACGATAAGCACTGGACTGCCAACTACAAGGTTGGCGGTTGGAGCCCACCAACTGCTCCGTGGAAGAAAGATAAGACTTTCTACTTCGGCAAAGATTTAAAACTTTGAAAATGTTTTACAGGGTTGATATGAGTCAGAATTGACTTAGCACTTAGCAACAACAGTAGTCACATTAAGAAAATTTTTTTAAAAAGCAAAAATAACATGCAAAATTAATTTTAATAATATATTTAATCCCATATATTTAACACTGGACTGCAAGCCCACCTGCTGCTCCTCAGAAACCTTATACAGGGTCGCTTTGAGTCAGAACCAACTGGACGACACCTAACAACAAGATTACAGAAGACTTGAATAAGTAGATGGAACCTGTGTGTACAGATGTTTGAGTAGGAAACACTTTCTTCTTTATATAGCCCATATGTCCTGTCCTATGTGGGGAAGCAGAATGATTACAGTATCTCCTTTCTCTGTTTTCTTTCCCGGACTCTATGTTATCATACCTTACTATTAATTTATGTGGTTGAACTGGACAGGTAGCAAGCAGACATGCCTTCTTGGTGGCTATATTTCTCGAGTCCATGTTAATTATTCCAATTGATTCCAAAATGGAAAAACATTGGACTGTTTGAATACAGCATTTCTAAGCTTACCAGCTAGGGAAAGGTTGTGAGGGAAAGACTCATTGCAAATACTGAGGTGGTAGTGGGGTGGTGGTGGATGGAATTCACATAAGGGAATTGACATAAATCCTACATAGCAGACTGAACATGGTGGTGCAATAACTAACCCAGCCAACTAATTATGTAAGCCTCCTCTCTGAAAGGAAAGAGATGTCTTTCAGCTATTCAGCATCTTAATAGCCTTCTGTACTGAGACAGAGAAAGTATTCTTACTTGACTGATAGTGAGGAATTAAGAAATAAAACTTTGTAAGGGATGTCACACGGTTTTCATTGCAGAATCAGGATGTGGACCCAGAGTCTGACATTGTTAACTTTCAGAACACAAATCTTCTATGGAAATGGGGAGTTGGTAGTGGTTACAGCTTAATATGCTAATTCTGCTTTCAAGGAGTAGTTAAAACTGAGTGGTGTGTGGTGTTCAGTACCAGGGGGACCCAGCCTGTAAAATAGTAAGGGCATGGAGACAAACCTAGCACAGAGAATAGATTTTCCTTAGGAAATTAAAAACTGATTGCAGAAGAAAATAATACAAAATGAAATAAAATAGACACATGAGTACCAGTGGTCTACCATATGTTTTGTGCTTTTACGTGTGAATTAAAATGATCAGAATGGAAGTTGTAGTGTATCTTAACCTGACCCACTGACTTCCACATCATTTTAGCTTACGTCTTTGAAATGTTTCTTAATAGAACTAGCCCTGAAAAACCATGTTATGCAAGGTTACATGGAATGCAATAATTAATTATCATGAAAATCAATACCATCTGCCTGTCTTTATCTAAAAATGTAACAGTGATTCTAAGGATTCGTTACTTGAATTTGTGTGTGAATATGTTCAGAGTGATGGATGCAATACATCGAGCTTTCCTGAAGCTTGTCTTCTTGGTTTCCATAATATTACTGCATCAAGCCTTATAAGTGAATGGCCCATAATTTTCAAGCACTAATTTTTTGGGCTTTGTAGTTGACAAGGGTAAATTTAATTTAAAAATCAGAATGGGGAGGTAAGGTTAAATTTTAGAAAAGTAAAATTGGGAAAAAAAATGGTTGTTCTCCCCTGATAGGTGTCTTGGTCTCTACTGAAGCCAAGGACTTGTAGAACATTTTTAAAGCAGATTGGGAAGGATAAAAATTAAGACTTCACTGTTAGTAAATGTCTTACTTCTCACTGCATGACAGAACAGTAGTGTGGTCGACTTAACTGGGCAAGAAGGAAGATACAAATAGCACTGGTCATTTGTGACATTGTGGTAGCATGCAGGAAAAGGATTGAGTCCTTAGTTGGAAAACATTGCAGGCTTTTCTTCTAGAGAGACTTTTCTCAGCTTTAGCCTGGCAGCTCTTCAAATAAAAATCACAAAGAAACATGACACTCTAAACAACCCTCCCCCCGCCCCCCATTCCCGGTCCAGACAAGACTGCATAGACAAGTAGGCGCTGGTGGCCAAGGCTGTGAGGCAGCAGAAAGGGCAGCTCTTTAGGCATCAGGAGCACATGGAGGCAGTGTGGGCCCAGGGAGGGTGACAAGTGGGCCAGCACTGGAAGTAGCTCTCAAATGTAAGACAAACAGTAGGCACAGGCCTGGTCTACTACTTTCATCCCTTGTTTCAAAAGGGACTCAGCATCTTGGAGCTAAGAGAGTCTTTAGTGCAGACAGTCTCTCACCATGGCGGGATGGGGTTGGGGGCTCAGCCCATCACTGCTTCTCTTTCATCTTGCACACTGTGATCCCTTCTCTCACCTCTCCTCCATGAGATGAGATGTAGGATTCTTTTGTTCTTTAACTTTAATTATTAGCTTGTTTTTGTTTTTTTAATATGACTGCATCTTGGCTGAACTATGTCAGTTTTCCTCATTTGTCAAAGTTAATAGTTAAGAAACTGAGGAGAGAAACTTGGAACTAAATTCTTTCTCAGATGTGATTCTCAGTTAATGGGAGGGAACATTGAGGCCACCAAGCTGGGGATGCCGGGGAAACACAGATCACTAAATAGAGCGAATTAAAGAGTTGACTTTGGAAAAGTTCATTTCCCTCTTAGTGGAGAAACCTTACTTAGTAGGAGACAAGACTAAAGCCATCGAAAAGGGATTCTCAAAGGACACAGACAACATGGTAGGTCTCTGTTCTGTTCAGCTGTTTTGATTCTTAGTTTATAATCCTTCCTCTCAAAGTGAGGGGCCAGGGAAGACCTCAGGCTGTGTAAGTCCAGCTAAACATCATTGGTTCCCAGAACTCTGTCCTCCTGAAGCTATGATAGTATAGCATGACTGGCACTCATCTATCACCTTCCTTTTTTTTTCACCTTAGGCTAATGAACCTATCTCATAGCTTATATATTCTTGTTTGTCCTTAGCTCCCTGATTCCTTTCACCTCCACCTCCTCCTTGAGTCCTTGTTGACTGTTACAGTATGTACACTGTCTGTCCCTCTAGAAGATCTGGCTTATAGGGACTGGCAGGTCATCCCATATTTATTTCATCCCTAGGATTGAAGGATTTGGCCTCATAGCATGGTTGATATAGTGGCTAAAATGCTGCATGAATCAATCAGTCCTATCTTGCTGATTTTCCTCTTGTTGGAGAATGTCGTTTGCAGTCTAGAAATCTGTCTTTCTGGGTATATCCTACTGTCTTTCAGCTACCTTCACAAGTCTGTAGGCATTCTATAGCACCATTAACGTCAGGGGCAGAATTAGATTGGAAACCTAGATTTGAGACATCTGGACTCCACACTATTCAAGTTGTGCCTTGAGTCTTTATCATTGAAGACTAGTTATTTACAGCCTGAGTCTTCTGAGCTTGTTGGCCCTGCTGTTGCTCCTGCCTCTGAGCTGCAGGCAGAACAGTGTCTTTCTTCAGTCTTCACTACCCCCACCTCATAGTGAGCTGCCTAGGGATCCTCGTCTATAGGCCCTTTCTCTAGTCTAGACCATGCTCTGGTGTGTTCCTGGCAGTACTCCCTGCTGCCTGCCCTGTATGTAGTTACCTTCTGTTGGACAGTAGCTCACTGCTCTGGCATCCTGCTGTGTAAATATTTGTCAAAGGACAGGGGCGTTTTCCCAATCCCCAAAAAGCATTCTGAAAAAATGTGCCTGTTTTCTTAGTCATATTTCCAAGTTGTGGATCAGTTAGCCCATTCATTCCTTTCAGTCGACAGACACTGGGGCTTGGCCTCAGCTGGCCACATAAAGTAAGTATGCAATGACTTCCGGCACAATAACTTTCCAGCTTTAGTACCAAGGAGTCCTGGACCTAAAGGAACCATGGATGAAATGACATAGTCACTGCTAGAGGAGACAAGTTTTCATTAACAGAAAGAGTTGGACATGTCCCCTACCAGACACTTTCATGTCTTTCACTCACCTGATATTGAAGGCCTAAATGGAATCAACAAAGATTCCTACCATCTTAAAGGCTCTAGGAGGCCACTTTCCTCTTCATATTTGTGACATTACTTTCAAGTCTCATGGAATGTAGGCTTTTATACTGCATCCGTATCTGTCTCTGTAAAGGTAACACTGCTGAGCTACTGTCATCTTAGAGGTGGGTTTCCAGGATCATCGATGGGTTTATCCTGGCACTTCATTCTATTTGAGACCAAAACCGTTTGTCTCTGCAAGATGACTTACTAGGTTAAAAAGGCAGTGAGATTGCTATCTTTGTACAAAATTAGGCGACCTACATATAAGTACTGAACTCTTGACCTTTGTGTCAGTAGTAGTAGGTTCTAGCAAACTAAGCTCAGGATCTATTTAATTTGCTTACTCAGTCATAGCAGATTAAAGTGACTACTAATTAACCTTATTTAACTGCTTGTTTACACACACACATACACACGTACATACATGTATACCAGCTTTTCCTCTTTTCATTGTTTATATCCACCTCAGCCCTCCTCTCTCCTAGTCAGAATTTGATCAATCAGACATGAGACAGACTCTTGGACATTTAAGTCTTAACTGAAATAGAAACAAAAGCATATGTTATTCACGACAGCAATTTCTCTTTCCCCATAGAATGCAACTAACCATACATAAAGACCTAATTATCTATTCTGATATATACAATTTCTTCCCACAGATCATCAATTTCTACATGAACATGCTAATGGAACGAAGTAAAGAGAAGGGATTGCCAAGTGTGCATGCATTTAATACCTTTTTCTTCACTAAGTTAAAAACGGCTGGGTATCAGGCGGTGAAACGTTGGACGAAGAAAGTGGATGTATTTTCAGTTGACATCCTTTTGGTGCCCATTCACCTGGGAGTGCACTGGTGTTTAGCTGTGAGTACGCTTTTATATCTGATAAAATTTAAAGGAAATATATACAGGATAGTGAGTTCTGCATTTTTACTTGAGGATTAAGAGAAAGTAATAGTTTGCAGTAGTAAGTTGAATAAAAATTGGATAGCTCAATTAACTTCCTGTCAAGAGAGGGAGATCCTTAGACTTTGAAGGAAGCTATAAAATTTCCTTTTCTGGAAAAATGTAAAAAGGAGTCTCAGGAAGTTGAAGCGGTATCAAAGCAAGACCTAAGGAGAAAAAGCAGCTTCTTAATAATGCTGTCAACTCAGGTTCTGTGATTATTATTTTCTGCCTAATTATGACTTGTGTACTTGGCATTTTAGTATTTCTTAACAGCTCTGGGAACAAAGGTATATCAGCTTAATGTAGTTGTAATTCCATCTTTCTGAACTATATAGAGATGATACCGTGCAACTTAGCTTCCCTGCAGAATGTGTTGTTTCTTGCAGATGAAGAACCTGAACACAGGAAAACAATTTCTGAAAAATTATTAAGGCCTCCAGTGGATCAGTCCCTCCATAGTTCTGTGTAAATAATCCCTTGTTCTTTCCTCTCTGCAGATTAGCCTGGTGTATTACATAGTAGCAGTCTAACTTGCCATAGTTTACCAGGAAATCTGGCAAAATGTTCCAAGTCCCAGAAAAGGGAACAGCTGAGAAACCAATTTTTTTTTCACTTTATAAACACAGATTTTTTTTCTTATTCCCAGGTTGTGGATTTTAGAAAGAAAAATATTACCTATTATGACTCTATGGGTGGGATAAACAATGAAGCCTGCAAGATTCTCTTGTAAGTAAGGAGTTGAAGACAGACAGGTTTGGTGTCAGGTATATATTGTGGTTTTCCAGCTGTTAAACTCAGGTGCTGATATCTAAAATGGTGACTTTAATAAAGGAAATCTTTATGTTAAGAAAGAATGGATATTTTAAGTCTAAATGAGTGAAATTTAGGAGCCATATACTGCTGTGGATTAGGTGTTGGGCTGCTTACCACCTGGCTCTAACCCACCAGCCACTCCAAGATAGGAAGATGAGGCCACCTGCTCCTGTAAAGATTGGAAACCCTATTATAGGGTCACTGTGCATCCAGAGTAACTCAGTGGCTATGGGTTTGGTTTAAGTAAAATTTAATAACATTGTAATGATGCCAAAAATATGTTTACGTGAGGGCACTACAACCAAAATGTATAGAGTTGAGAGACTATTTATATATAAGCATCTAATTCAACTTCTTAATTTTTCAGATGAAGAAACCAGTGCCCACAGAGGTGATTAGATTTGCTCAGATAAAACTAGTTAGTGGCTCCGAGCCAGCATGCAAATCTGTTCATATCCAATCTCTTTCTCTTTCCAAAACACCTATTCCTCACTGTACCACTCTGGTGACTAAGGAGAAGAGTGTTCTCTGTGATGTATGTACTCCATAAATTGTTGATTTGGATTGAATTTTCACAGAGGAGAATCAAGCCCAACAACAATGAATAGTGTTAGAAAAACATTTTTCCATTAGGTTGAGTCCTAAAGAACCACATAAACCAAGGGGTAAAAACCATATTCTTCAGGAGAAACAGTAGATAGAGGAGTATCGGATGCAACCATCATGTTCCTCTTGAGTCAACAGAGTGGGCATTGATTGTGGGGCAGTGAGAGGCAAGCTCAGCTCCTAAAGGAGCTTAGCAGTCCAAGGATTTCCCACCCAGCATAACAGATCATTTTCCTCAGAGGAGCAGATGACCCTCCTTCTGAGAACTCTTAAGCTCCATTCTTAAAGTGGCAGCTATTCTCCGATTTCCTCATAGTTCATCTTGTTCTTTCTCAATACTTTTAGACATTATCTAAAGCAAGAAAGCTTTGACAAGAAAAGGGAAGCGTTTGACACCAATGGCTGGCAGCTCTTCAGCAAGAAAAGCCAGGTACAGTTTAATCATGATGAGGTGGAAATTCTGAGACTAGGGTATTTGAGAAGTAAAGGATTGTACTACTTGGATTCCCAGAACTTTATATTATCTATTTGTTCCTTTCATTTCTATTACTTTTATAAAATATTTATTTTGTGTTTTAGGTGAAAGTGTACACAGCAAATTAAGTTCCCACTTAACACTTTTTATGCAGGTTGTTCTGTTACATTGGTTACAATTTTCACAGTGTGTCAGCATTCTCATTATTTCCATTGTGTTTGTTGTTCTCTTTCCATTGATCTAGCATCCCTTCCCTTCCTTGCCATTTCATATTTGCTATTGGGCAAATGTTGACCATTTAGTATCAATTAGTCATGGTGTGGCACTGCGAGTTAATGCTCTGTACTGCAGGGTTGGCTTGAACTGCAACATCAGTGGTTCAAGCTCAGCAGCTGCTCCATGGAAACCCTATGCAGGGTCGCTATGAGTTGAAACCAACTCTACAGCACTTAACAGTAGCAGTTGATTGTCCGAGGGAGCACATTATTCATGCAGAAAGTGAAGGGTCAGCAAAAAAAAAAAGAGTAAACCTCCCCCCTCCCCCATGAGATGGATTGACACTGTGGCAACAGCAATGCGCTCTAACGTAACAATGATTATGAGGATGGAGAGAGACCAGGCAGTGTTTGATTCTTTTGTGCAGAAGTTTGCAATGAGTTGGAGACTGCTAGATGGCACCTAACGTTATTCATGAGTGGTATTACTGTATAAGCCAATCTGTCATTTGGCTGAAAGGGGATTTCCAGAATTAGTTTCAGTTTCGAGTGTGAAGGGTATCTTAACAGCTATAATCTTGGGCTTCCTCTAGTCTTTGTCAGTTCAGTAAGTCTGGCCATTTTCTTAGGAATTTTGAGTTTTGTTTCATATTTCCCTTCCCTTTTTAGGGAGGACCTTTTATTGTGTCCCTGGTCAGAATGGTCAACAGTGATAGCCAGGCACCATCTAGCTCTCCTGGTCTCAGTTTAGGAGAGGTTGTGGCATGTGTTGGCTATTAGTCCTGTTGACTAGTGTCTTCTTGGAGTCTTTGGTGTCCTTCATTCTCTCTTGCTTCAGATGCATAGAGACCAGTAGTTGTATCTTTGGCTGATTGCATACTTCTAAGACCCCAGACACTACTCACCAAACTAGATGTGGAACATTGTCTTTATGAACTACATTATGCCATAATTGGCATAATGTAGTTCATAAAGACAAAGTCAATTGGCATAATGTAGTTCATAAAGACAAAGTTATCCCCAAGTCTATGGTCCAAGCCTTTTAAGCTGGTAAACCAATCCCACAAGGATATGTCTAGGAAGTCTCTGTACCTGTGACCCCTATTTGTTTTATTATATAGATATGTATGCAGCACACATAAACAGGTATATACATATGCCTACAGGTTATACCCACCAGCTACTACTTGGAAACCCTATACAGGGCCTGTATGGGTCAGAACTGACTCCATGGCACTTAACATATCTGAAAAGTAAGAGCTTTTACTCTTAAAATATAACAAGACAGAATACCTTCACAATCCTGGCATTGTGTAAGGTTTCTTAAACAAGAAACACAAAAACAATACCACTGCTGAATAAAAAAATAAACTGGCTCACTGCTCAAACTGTACCTCTAGCTTGAACCAGTCTGTAAACTTTTTGTGACTGATATGCAACATACAGCAATTTTGGTAATAGTTTGCCAGGTAACTTTCTCCTTGGGCGAAAGATGAGGCTTTCTGCTCCTGTGAAGATTTATTGCCTTGGAAACCCTATACGGGGGTCACTATATCTGGAGTCCTGATGTGGTGTGGTACTGTAGAATTGCATTGGACTGCTAACCACAAGATTTTTTAAGTGCTGAGCTAGTTTGCTAAGCTTTTGGCTTTAGTGAGAAAGATTTGCTGATTGGCCCTTTGGAAAGGGACACGTTTTCACAACCCTAGGTGCCATGGTGGACTAAAAAGTCCTCCTATGTGATGAATGTTAAGTACGCAGGCCTGAAATGCTGTCTCTATTGTTCTGAGTGGGACCAGGGCCATTTGTTCAAAATTCAGGGAAACCTTAGCTCTTATTTATAATCTAGTAAGAATGAAGGCAATTGAAAAGGTGTTAATTCTTTTTTGCTGTTATTGGTCTTTCAGGAAATTCCCCAGCAGATGAATGGTAGCGACTGTGGGATGTTCGCCTGCAAATATGCTGACTGCATTAGCAAAGACAGACCAATCAACTTCACTCAGGTGAGCTGGGTCTTCCAGTGACTGCATTGGCTCGAGGCCACCTTGTAGATGTTTTCTTTTCTCTTGACTCTCTTACAGGGCTCTGCCCTTAGTCTTTAGCATGGTTCAACTTGCACATCATAGCACTGGTGGGTACTGCTTGTGACATGTCACCAGACAGAAAAGAATAGTGATAGACCACATCTTGGTTACCATATATCATAATCCTATAGTTAAGGAATTCTGGTCAGCAGCAGAACCTTCTAAAACTATGATTCTCTAAAGAACAGAAAACAGACCAGAAGACGTTTCATTCTGTTTCTCTGTGTTAGCTGGCAGTCAGGTTTTGGAGCAGGGGCACGGCTTGGTCTCCTAGTGTCGTTTGTTATGCTCCCCTTAGTCTCTCTCCTTCCCTATCTGTTGATGCATTTGGTTAGTCATCTCTTATCATGTGATTGGTCATTTCTATCCATATGGTCCCTCAGAGAGCAAAGAAGGTTGAGACAAGCTCATGGCTTATTTTGATGTATTCTTTGCTTAGCTCTACTATTAAAATAAAATGACTGTACCAGATTTCCTCACCATAAACCCTTGTCTAGGCCAGGTTGAGTTGAATATCACAGTTCCCATACTTTTCACCCAAAAAGTGAGTTACTTATTTTAGGCCTCAAGTAACCTCTTAGAAGTTCAACAAAGATTTCTTGATAGATACCGTTTCTCAAAATTCCTGGAGACTGTTGGCCTAATAAAACTTCTAAGGAGATGAGTAGGAAAAACATTGGGAAGACCAGAAATGCAACTGGAACTATTTTAGTTGAAAATCTTCAGTAGGGAGGGTCTGTTCATTATGATTGGGTCTGGATTAAAGAAATAAAAATTACAGGTGTCTCTGTGTCCCCACAGCAACACATGCCATACTTCCGGAAGCGGATGGTCTGGGAGATCCTCCACCGAAAGCTCTTGTGAGGACTTTCTCAGCCAGGAGACACTGACCTTGTTGGGGACCAGCTCATTGTTGTCTACAGCTAGAGACCTGGGAACCAGCTGCTCCCAACCCTCTGTTCTTGTAAAGCCCTTGATCCTGGACCAGGCCTTGGTGAGATGCATTCACAAGCACATCTGCCTTTCCTTTTGTATCCCAGATACTATTTTTGCAAAGCAACTTTGGTGCTGTGAAAGGGGTGAGGGACACTCCTAAGCTGAAGAGAAAGACTGTTTTTCACTTCTTCAGTTCTGCCATCTTGTTTTCAAAGGGCTCCAACCTCACTCAGTCCCTAATAAGGGGACTGAGAGAAGCTTGGAAAGAAACTTGGTTTCATATATACTCTTGTGGGGCCTTAATAAGAGCTAGGACAAGGCATAGGCAAAAGGGTAGGGATGAAAACCACCAGCATATACATGCACACATACACATGTGATTTTCAAGATGTGTAGTCAAGAATGTGACTGTAAACTGGACTTTGGGGCTCAGGCCTAAGTTTCCTCCTCCAGGACTTTTTTATGCCTGCCCCTTTGAAGTTCATCTGCTTCTATCCAAGGCTTCTGTTTCATCTCTAGCTTTCTCCAAGCCTGAGATATAGCACTTGGGTCCTGGGTGGGCCCCAAAGTCCCAAGCAGTCTTCTCCTTAAAAGCAGGGGTTTACAAGTACTAGTGACACATGATACAGGACAGACCCACCCAGGGAGTGGTTTTAGTGGAGCAACAAAGCCCCACTTTGACTGCCGTCTACTTCTGACCAAGAAGAAAAAGGACCTCAGTCTTTAATATAAAAGTCCGCATTGGATGAATGCAGGTCTAGTTTGGTCTGTGGCTAGTTAGTTTAAATACGTTTCTAACCACAGAGAATTTAATATATATATTTCACAGGAATATGCTTCTTTTCCCCCCTAAAGGCTGAGTGTGTTCATCTTTTAACCTGTAGATTTATTTCCATTTTCCAAAGTTAGCCCCAGCACACACATGTCCCAGCCCCAATGTATAGAGTGTTTGTTGACTTCCTAAGAGAATATTTTAAGGCCTGGATGAATTTTGGCTTAGAGGTAAAGTTAACAGAGGAATGTGAAATTTTCAACTGGAAAGTGAGTAGAGTTTGGACTGATCAATTTTGAGATAAAAACTGCTATTTCTTTTGTCCCTATCATTCCCACCCCCCAATCTCCACCCCCACCCCACCCCCAGCTCCTCAGGCTTAGATAGTGAAAACAACGCCAGTGTCATTTTATACTTAAGTTCCAAAATAGGAACATTTTATACTTTTTCTGTATTGTAATAGGTAGTTTGTATGAAATATTTTCTCCTCTTGTACCTTAACCTTCCCAGCATTGTACTTTCTCCCTGGGCCTATTTGGAAATTTAACTGTTTTATACCAGACTTGTTTAGTACATTTTTCTATGTTTTACCACAGGTTACTGTTTGAAAAGAAAACTATTTTTTTTAAATATTCCATTGTTAATTGAATGTTAATGTTTCCACTCCAGCAATTAGATGCCCACCGTTTTCCATAACTACCAGCTTTTTTTGGGGGAAGATTATCTTTTTGTTTATTTTCATTTTTTTTTTTCTTTTTCTTTTCTCTCTTTCTCACTCTTTTTTTGGTGTGTGTGTGTGTGTGTGTGTGTGTGTGTGTGTGTGTGTTTTTCTATAGGAAACAAATAGCTTTCTCTATATGAGTTGCTGGGACCTTTCACAGTCTCCTCTAGAAAGCTCTAGTCTTGCAGACTGATTGTTGGACTCCTGTGTTTAAGTGACAACTTGAAAGGTGGCAGTATGGTAGATTTGAACTATGAGTCAAAAGACCTGAGTTTTTTCCCCAGGCTCTCTCACTATTGTCTGGGGGATGGATTCAGAACAAGATAGATTTGTATATTTATTGTTTGTTGATATAGGTAATACTTGTCTTAACCTTCCTCACAGATTTTGTACAGACCAAAGCAACAAATATTTATTGCCATGTACAGCAAAAAATGAAGCAATGCAACAAAATATTGAAAAAAATATAAGAAATGATTGATTCTCTCTGAACTTGGTCCCCTTTCTGACCAATGCAGTTTTACACAAGATATGAGTTACTGATCCTCAGACCACATGGTAAGAATAGGCCAAGCTGAGACATAGCTTGTGGCCCAGGGTGGCCCAATGGAAACAAAAAGAGTGGGCTTCCTTAGTAGGCTGTTTATTTGAGGGAACTGGCCAGCAAGACAGGCCTGGTATCCATCTGCTCTGGAAATTTAAGCTCCTTCATTAAGAAGTGGACCTTCATGAACAACAAAAAAGGCATGTTGTCAATGTCTTGTTTGACCTACCTGAAACTAAATTAAGTCTGTCACTGTCTTTCCTTCGGTCTTCTTCTGACTGTGTTCAGTGCTCTAGAAAAAGGAAAACTTCTGAAAGATGCTAAGTCCTAGATGCCAGATACAGAGTCTTCCATAAAAGCCGCAGTCCTAACAGTCACTGCTGGGCTCCGTATATTTTAGAACACGTGGTCCAAGGCTCAGAGACTAGTTACAGCCCATTTGTCACTTGGCACCCACTATTACTTCCCAAAAGCCTAACTAGCATTGAATATGAAAATACTTCCTCATCCAGCCTGGAGACTAAATCGACTCCTCTACATGTAAGGTGCTTCTTACTTCCCTGTGCTATCAGCTCCTCTCATCTTTAGCCACTGTGAGTCTTCTTCCCACTGCTCCCTGCAAAGTTAGCACCAAGTTTTGGTATTTCTGGAATACAAAGACAGCCCCATCACAAAGTATGTCCATCACCACCTGGTTTTACAGGGCCTGTAAAGGACTCTAGTGGGTAGAGAGCAGAAAGGTTCACTTAAGAGCTTTCATGTTTTCAGTGTTTGAACCACTACTCTTGTTGTTAAGTGCTGTCGAGTTGATTCCGACCCATAGTGACCCTGTACAGGGTTTCCAATGCTATAAATCTTGATGGGAGTAGAAAGCCTCATCTTTCTCCCACGAAGCGGCTGGTAGTTTCGAACTGCTGACCTTAAGATTTGCAGCCCTATTTGTAACCACTATGCTACCAAAGCTCCTTCTTGTATCAGCTCTTAAATCTGTCTGTCTAGGAGCAGGAGAGATGCCCTTGTCATCACAGAGCCTAGCACTTGGGATTTGTCTTCTCGCTCCCTCCACCTATATGGATGAATGTGAAGTGGCTTCTGATACTTTTCTTCTGAAAGTTCACATGCCCAAGAGAGTCAGACAAGGAGACATAAAGCTGTCAGGTCCCAGTGTTGACTCAGAATAAGTGCTCAGCCCCTTGGGGGCATTATTACCCTAACCCAGGGCAATATAGCCACAACTTGTAATTCCTTCCGAAATTCTGGAGCATCTTTACTTGTAAGTCCAGCATCTTATTTCACAGTGTGGAATCTTAACAGCAGTGTGTCACAGACCATATAACTGTCATTCCCAGCTTCAAAGATGGAGAAGGAGGGCAGCTAGGGTTGGAGGTCATGTTAGTCCCCACTAAGGTAAAGGAGAATTTACACATGTATTCTCAGGAAAAGGAAGAGGAAACTAGGTGACTTGAGCCTTGAAATATCTGGGCACGCTGTCTCTTTTACCTGCCAGGAGGAATGGTAGGGATAGTTCCAATTGTGTGAATGCTGGATCAGATAGATGTCTAAGGTCTTGTCAAACTCTTTTAAGATTCTGCAGTGTTACTGAAGGCTACAATGCTGCTGGGGATAGGGATCAGGGTAGAGAATTTGGAAGTTTAAGCCAGTATAAAACCATTGACTCGGTTTTAGGCTTGTTCTAATGGGATGATTACAGCTGTGGGCCTCCATTCTAAGCTGAGGAAATTGTCCTTCACCCATCACAGAACTCAATGCTGGGGAAGGAAAGGGTGTAGGAGAGAGGCACACGAGGAGCACAGCATCTTCAGTCTGCTGGTGGTTTTCTCTTTCAGGTTACTATTTTATTCCTTTCACAAAGAAGCTACTGAGGACCAAAATAAAGCCCAAACTCACTACCACCAAGTCCATATGGACTCGTAGCAACCCTGTAAAGGGCTTCCAAAGCTGTAAATCTTTATGGAAGCAGATAGCCTCATCTTAAGCAGAATGGTTAGTGGATTTGAACTCCTGTCAACCTCCCATGACCACATTATCTTAGAATCTCCTCTGGTCAGCTGCAGAGCAGCCCTTAGGATCAGAAAATAATACAACTCCACCTGGTCTTTGTATTCTGTCTTTCACATCAGGTATGGATTGAGACACAAAGCAGGTGAATGAGTTGGTGTTTTTTTAAATTTTAAACCAATAGTACCAGCTGCTTCCCTCTGGCCTGTCAGGGATAGCTCTTGCAGGTTTATTTAGAGAGCATTGCAGAGTGAGAAAGAGCAGCTCTGTCCATGGCAACCTACAGCCTCCTTTGTGGTTCCAAACTTTATACCTTACATTGCCCTTAACAAGCTTCCATGACTTCCAAGGTCGACTCTCCAGCCTTAGGAGCTTCTTAAAGTCTTTTTGTCAACTGGGGCTGTGTGCCGTGGAGTCGGTTCTGATTCATAGCGACCCTTACTAGGGTTTTTGAGGCTGTAAATCTTTATGGGAACAGAAAACCTCATCTTTCTCCTGCAGAACGGCTGCTAGTTTTGAACTGCTAACCTTGAGGTTAGCAGCCTGACTCGTAACCACTAAGCTACCAGAGCATATTTCTCTATTAAACAGTTTCCTCTATTAGGAAAAGTACTTTATATCCCTTACAGATTGAAACTATGGATTCCTATCTGCCTGGTTTGCCTTTTAAATGCTGGTTTGTCTTCACATGCTTTCTGGGTCTTGCCTACTAACCATAACTTAAGCTCAGTGAGACCTGTTTGGTACTATAGGATCAGCACTGGACTGATACCCACAAGGTCGGTGGTTCAAACCCACCATCTGCTCCTCAGAAACCCTACACAGGGTTGCTACCAGTCAGAATTTACTGGCCTGCACTTAAACAACAATAA